AGAGCCTGTTAATTAGCTGTAGTAATAGAACCTGTACACGCGCCTGTCCTCTCTACCTATAAGCCCGTACTGTAACATTACGTAGCTCCTACTTATAGGCCTGTATATTTTACTACTATAAACCGCCCTAAGCCCCCTTCCTTCCTAGAGACGCCCGACGAACTCACTACTAGTGTAGCAGCGCGTTCTAGGGAATAGCTAATGTACTTACGTAATACCGCCTAGTATACCTAGAAACTTAAGGAAAACTACGCTGCGTCCTAGGACTAGGAGCAGTCTCTGCGAATCTAGGTTAAGAAGAGGGAAGCTGTTATTTAGTACTAGAAGGAGCAGTTAGTAGCAGACTAGAAGTAGATTACTAAACTTAAGATTAAAAAGACCTAGCTTGCTATAGCTGCTATACCTACAGTACTAACACCTCTAGCTGTCACTACGTTTTCCTCTAACCCCGTTGGCGTTGCTAAGGCCTCCGCAGACAACCCAACGGGACCGCCTACGCCTGTTACTCCCCTAAGTTCCTAAACTCCTAGCCTTAGTGAGAGAATACCTAACCTAAAGGAATTTAATAGAACTTAAAGCGACCTACACTAGTTTATCTAATAGATCTACGGCAAAATAAGCGTAAACGCCGACTGATTTCTATAGGCTACTAGGCGTATGCTTTACGTAGCAGGACGACTTATAGGAAAAGCATACGCGCTAATATTACTAAAGATCTAGTACAGAATTCCCTAGTTTGTTAATTACCTATAGATACTAGAGTACCTAGAAAGAGCCTTCGGCGACCCCGACCGCACCTAGAATGCCTAGAACCGTCTTTTCTAATAGAAGTAGAAGAACCTAGACTTTACCGCCTACCTATTAGAGTTTTAACGCTTAGCCCTGGAGGCTGAGATGCTAGAGAGCGTACTAGTCCCCTTATTGTTCTAGGGGATCTCCTATAAGCTTTAGAACATGCTCCTCTATAGCCTTACCCTATCTACTAAATATATATCCTATGTTAACCACCTCTAGGCACTCAACAACCGTTACCGCCAGCACTAATAATAGGTTAGCTAATCTCGAGGAACACTGTCTACTAAGAACCCTAGATATACTATTAGAGAGGCTATAGGCCGCCCGTCCACACCCTATTCCGCCTCCCTTACTACCGCCGTCCCCGCAGACCCAATAGACCTAAGCTCTTAGAAGAACTTCACAACAGGAGGAAGATAAGAGAGAAATAAGTGCTTCCGCTACGGATCGCCGTAGCACTAGGTTAGAGACTGCCTATACCTAGATAATCGCCCAGCCCTACAGATCCGCTCTAGCAATATAGAATACGCCGCTAGTCCTATACGCCACTATGCCCCTACGCCCCCCCAAGGACGCCGAACTACCTCTCCATACTCGCCCTCTAACTACCGCTATACCAGCCCCTAGAATAGCCCTAACTAGTTAGTAAATAGGGTGAGCCTAAACTAAGTCGCGTCTAGGCTCCCCTACCGCGCAACTAGGACTAACGCCGCCTAGTCTATATTTCCGCCGCGTTTGCTAAGGGACTCTTAGTAAGCGAGGAAAGCGAGCTAAGGTCTAACTTAATAATACTGCCTATTACCCTAAAGGTAGGGGAAGAGACGATACCTACCTACGTGATGACTAACACTAGAGCTAAAGGGAAGGGCTTTGTCGACCTAAACTAGGCCTAGAGCCGACAACTACCCCTATAGGAACTAAAACGACTAATCTAACTAGAAGTGTTTAATGGTTAAGAAGCTAAGACTAGGTCTATTACCTATTACCTGAAAACTAATATAGTAGTAGGTAACTACTATAAAACTATCTACTTACTAGCTACGTAACTAGTACACTACTCTATTATCCTAGGGATGCTTTAGATAAAGCTTCACGACCCCTAAGTAGGGTTCGCGAGCTATACTTTTACGTTTAATAGTGAGTACTATTAGAATAACTGCAACCTTCCTAACCGCCTAACCTAGATCTCTACCCTATATGATATGCCTTAGAAGGCGCGCCTTGCCGCCGTGCCTGACTGACCTAAGAAACTCCGTTACTTAGATATCGCAAAGGTATCCTTGTGGGCTTGCGTAGTATACGCCTAAAGAAACTACTAGATTTTTAAAGTATTAATTAAATAGATCGACGAGCTTCTAGCTAGCACTAACCCCCTAAACTTGTTTAATCCTGTAGACCTAGGAGACCTCCTCCCCTAGGAGCTCTAGGAGTTTATAGACGTGTTCTCACCTAAGGAGGTGGAGAAGCTGCCCCTATACCGCGCCCACGATTACGATATTCGCCTGCTAGAGGGTAAGACCCCCCCTTTTAGCCTACTGTACCTAATATCCTATAAGGAGCTTATAGCCTTACGAGAATAGCTTAAGGAGAACCTGCGTAAGGGGTTTATCTGTCCTAGCTTCTCTCTTGCCGCGTCCCCCGTTCTCTTTATTAAGAAGCCTAATAGAGGGCTCCGCTTCTGTGTAGACTACCGTGGTCTAAACAATATCTCTATTAAGAACTAATACTCGCTCTTGCTAGTTAAGGAAAGCTTGAATAACCTAAAGGGTATAAAGTACTTCTCTAAAATCAATATCGTCGCCGCCTTTAATAACGTACGTATTAAGGAAGGCTAAGAGTATCTAATAGCGTTCTGTACTAGATTTAGTCTATATAAGTCTTTAGTGATGCTATTTAGCTTAACTAGTGCCCCTACCACGTTCTAGAGGTTTATTAACGACACCCTGCGAGAGTATTTTAACGTCTTCTGCACCGCCTACCTGGACGATATTCTAATCTATAGCTGTAGCTGAAGCGAGCACGAAGACTATCTAAGAAAGGTCCTAACAGCTCTACGTAAGGCTAGCTTATATACCTAGATAAAGAAGTGCGAATTCTTTAAGACTAAGACTACCTTCCTTAGAGTTATTATAGGAAGGGAGGGTATCTAAATAGACCCGCGAAAGGTTAAGACTATTTAGAACTAGCTAACGCCTACCTGCCTAACTAATATATAAGCGTTTATTAGGTTTAGTAATTTCTACCGCTAATTTATACGCGACTTCTCTAAGATTATAGCGCCTATAGTAGGCCTAATAAAGAAGGGAGTTAAATTTTAATAGAGTACTGCCTGCTAGAGGGCCTTTAATTGTCTAAAGTCGGCCTTTATAGAGGCGCCTATCCTAGCCTCTTTTAACTAGGATAAGGAGATTATTCTAGAGACTAACGCGTCCGACTACGTGTTAGCTAGAGTGCTGTCGTAGTATAGAGACGATAGGATTCTAAGACTAGTAGTATTCTTCTCTAAGAAGCACTTAGTTACGGAGTGCAACTATAAGATCTACGATAAGGAACTACTAGTAATTATCCGCTGCTTTAAGGAGTGGAGACCTGAGCTAGAGGGTATAGCGTCTCCTATTAAAGTAATTACTAACTATTATAATCTAGAATACTTTACGACGACTAAGCTACTAAATAGACGATAAGCCTGCTAGGCTAAATTTCTTTCCTATTTTAATTTTAAAATTGTGTACTAACTAGGTAAGCTAGAAGTAAAGCCTAATGCGCTAACTAGAAGGTTAGGAGACTTGCCTAAGGAGGGGGATAAACGCCTCAAGCACTAGAGCTAGGTAGTACTAAAGAAGAAGAACTTTGAACTAGACACCCTATAGGGGGGTACCTAAGAAACTTTCCTTAGTTCCCCCCTAGTCCTCCCTGCTGCCAGCCTAGGTTAGGCTGCACTAAAGAAGACTATCCGCTTTAGCGACGACTGCACGTTACGCCTGCTCCCTATACGCTAACCTACCTACCTAAGCCTGCTACCTGAGAGAACCGCACCGCTGCTCCCGCCTTAGATCTAATCTATATTTAATGATAGGTATTAGAATGACCCTAAGCTATCGTCGATTCTATCTGCACTTCGTACTAACGCTAGATAGTATAAGAAAATTACACTTGCGGAGTGCGTGGAACGGGATAGGTACTTATACTACCGTGACCGCTTGTACGTCCCTGAGTGCTAGGAGCTATATACGGAACTGCTGCGCATGTACTATAAGAGCCTAGTTGCTGGGCATATAGAAAGAGCCTGTACGTACGAGTCCCTATTCTGAGAATACTACTAGCCTAGTATGTTAGACTATATTAAGCGCTAGGTCTAGAACTACTACTCTTGTAAAAGAACGACTGCGTCTTATAAGGCTAGATAAGGAGTGTTAAGACTCTTGCTGATTCTAGAGCGGGCCTAGCGAGACGTATCTATAGACTTTATTACATACCTACTAGAGAGCTAGGGCCACGACGCTATCTTTGTAGTCGTAGACCGCCTAACTAAGATAAGACACTTCGTTGCCTGCTACAGAACCTGCGATGTAGAAGAGGTGTTAAGACTATTTATAAAGTATGTGTGGAAACTCTATAGTCTACCCTAGACGATTGTATCTAATTAAGGGCCCTAGTTTGTGTCTATATTTTAGAATTACCTAACCCGCCGCCTAGGGATTAAGTCCCTCCTGTCTACTGCGTACTACTCTAAGACTAATAGCTAGACTAAGAGAGTGAACTTATTCCTAGAATAGTATCTCTGTAGCTATATGTTATACCTATAGGATAACTAGTCTATATAGCTGCCTTTAGTAGAGTTCGCCGCGAATAATACTATTAATAAGAGTACCTAGACTACGCCGTTCTTCGCGAACTATAGCTACTACTTAAAACTAGGGTTTAAGCTAGCCTTAACCTAAGATTAACCCGCCGCCTAAGATACTAAAGAACTTGCTTAGAAGATAAATGCTGTCTATGAGTACCTGCGAGCTGAGATCTGCCTAGCCTAGGCCCGTTACGAGAAGTATGCTAACTAGAAGAGATAGCCTGCTCGCTGCTTTCTAGTAGACGATACTGTATAGTTAGATGCTAGGAATATTAAGACTAACCGTCCCTAGAAGAAGTTAGACTAGAAGCTTTTAGGACCCTACTAAGTCGCTAAGGTTATTAGCCTATACGCTTACCGCCTAGAGCTGCCTATATCTATAAAGATTTATCCTATCTTCTACGTAAGCCTATTAAGACCTGCGGCCTCTAACCTCTTACTTAGACAATGCTATGGCCCCCCTCCGCCTATTAAGGTTAAGAGGATAGAGGAATGGGAGGTAGAGGATATTTTAGATTCCTAACTTAACCGCTGCGGACGAGGAGGTTGTCCCTGCCTAAAGTACCTAGTGAAGTGGGCTGGCTACGACAAGCTAACTAAGGTCCCTACTAGCCACCTAGAAAACGCCTAAGAGATCGTTAATAACTTCTACTACTATTACCCTACTAAGCTAAGATAACTACGTCGACGGAGCTCCGCCTAGAGAGGGGAGTACTATCACAGCGCTAGCTAAGCAGCTGGCGCGCGATTGTCTAATTAGCTGCTAATAGAATCTAAGTGAGGGCCTAAGCACCTGGATTCTGCAAAACTGCCGTAACCT